CGATATTTGGTGGCCCTTAATGAGTTTGGCTTCCAGTTCCCCATGTCATGGACACACCCATATTTGTTGCACTAAACTGTAAGCTGTTGGAGGCTAGGGCTGTTTTGTACAGTGCCTAGTACAATGGGGCCTTGATCTGGGGAGTTCCTGCGGCAGGGGCTGAAAACACATTACTGCGGACAGAAAAAGTTTGTCTCTCAAAATATTTGGTGGCCCTTAATGAGTTTGGCTTCCAGTTCCCCATGTCATGGACACACCCATATTTGTTGCACTAAACTGTAAGCTGTTGGAGGCTAGGGCTGTTTTGTACAGTGCCTAGTACAATGGGGCCTTGATCTGGGGAGTTCCTGCGGCAGGGGCTGAAAACACATTACTGCGGACAGAAAAAGTTTGTCTCTCAAATGCTGGAGAGGAGGGAGATCTCTTTCCTAACGTACGAATGTTGGGGGTTAGCAACCAAGAGTTCTGTCTTCCCTTGCTGCAACAGAGCATATAGCACAGGGACGGGTAAGGGGGACTAATGAGTCCACAGTCACTTGGCTCCATCTTCCTGCAGCCCTATAGTTCAGGGATAAGCTTTGTCTGAATTGAGGCTACTGTGCTTTCAGCCAAGGAGCTGCTTGCTGCTGCACTGCAGCCTGTACGGGAGCAGACCCCTCGGCTGGGTGTGTCATCAGTGCTAGCCAGGTTAGTCTGCCGTCATTCTTAGTATGTGTTACGGCAGTGCCCGGAAGGTCCAAAGATGGACTGGGACATGTTGTGCTGGGTGCTGTATGAACATAAGACACCTTGCAAGTGTGATGTCCTTCATCTTTTTGAGGGGTCAAATACCAACCCCTTGCAGGGGGTTCTAGTTGGAGCTATGTGCTGTTGGTATGGGCCTTTGGCTTTGGTTTGAAGTGGTGTCTCTCATTGGCCCGGCCCTGTTGTTTAGGCACGTGTGTCCAAATATCAGAATGATCTGACCCAGTGTGGCCAATGGTCCATCTAGCTCAGTTTCCCATCTTCCAACAGTGCCAGATGCGGCAGAGGAAATGAACAGAACCAGACCAATATATCAAGTGATTTCATCCCGCCCCCTGCCCCCATCATCCAGTCCCAGCTTCTGACAGTCAGAGGTTTAGGGACACCTGGAACATGGAGTTATGTCCCTAACCACCTTGACTAATAGCCATTGATGAACTTATCCACCATGAACTCATCTCATTGTTGTTGGTTTTTTTGAACCCTGTTATAATGTTGGTATTCACGACTAGTTCCACAGGCTGACTGTGCATTGTGTGGAGAAGTACTTCCTAAACCTGCTGCCTATTATTTAATTGGGTGACCGCTAGTTTTCGTTCTATGTAAAGGAGTAATGAATACCTCCCCCACTCACTTTCTCCACACCGATCATGATTTTGAGACCACTATCACATTGCCCTCTTTAGTCCTCTCTTTTCTAAACTGAACAGTCCCAGTCTTGTCAATATCTCCTCATATGGAATCTGTTCAAGTTCCCTAATCATTTTTGTTGCCCTTCTCTGTACTTTTCCCAATTTTCTCATGTATCTTTCTGGGGATGAGGCAGCCAGAACTGTACATTGTATTCAAGGTGCCGTGTAACATTGATCTATATAGTGCGTTATGATATTTTCCTAAGTGGGCCTGACAATGGGCAGCACAGAGAAACTTGCTGGGGAACATTTTAACTTGCCTGGGCACTCATTAATGGATCTCAAAGTCACCGTATTATTTCAAACCAATTTCAAAAGCCAGCTCAACAGGGAAGCTGCAGAACTTAATTTCATTTACATGTTTGATTCCTACAACAGGAGTCTAAACAAAGACATCAGCTAGATGTCCTGCTACATTGCACATCCTAATGACATAAAAAAACAAACAAGGGTACTTAGAGTGGGTACTAAGTATTCTTATCAGCTTCTTTTAGCAGGGACACACTAATTGACAATTTCTTTCCCCTTTTTTTTCTTCTTTTTCCTCTCTTCTCTCCCCCCCCATCCCCTCTCTGTGCTACTTATTTGAAAACTGAACCCCTTAAACTCCATTCATCTGAAGAAGTAGGTTGTGCCCACAAAAGCTCATGATACCATCTACATGTTTTGTTAAGGTGCTGCAAGACTATTTGTGTTTTTTAAGTTTTTCTAGTTGCAGACTAACAGGCTACCCCTCTGAAACTTTTGTTCCTGACATTGTTAGCTTTTTTGACTGCTGCTGCACGTTGAACAGATGCTTTCAAAGGACTATCCATGATGACTCCAAAATCTCTCTCTTGAGGGGGTCTAAAGTAGCTGTTGCCAATCATTGTGTATGTATAGTTGGGATTATATTTTCCAATGTACATTACTTTGCAGGTATCAACATTAAATTTCATTTGCCATTTTGTTGTCCAATGACCCAGTTTTGTGAGATCCCTTTGTGACTCTTAGCTGTCTTGAGCATTTTCATATAATGTGCAGACTTTGCCACCTAGTTGGTTATCCTCTTTTCCAGATCATTTATCAATATGTTTTGAACAACACGGGACCCATTTCAGATCCTTCAGAGACCTTGCTATTGATTTCTCTCCACAGTGAAAACTGACATTTAGTCCAACCCTTTGTTTCCTATTGTTCATCCAGTTACTTGATCCATGAGAGGCCCTTCCCCCTTATCTGATGACTACTTAATTGGCTTAAGATACTTTCTGAAAGCCCAAGTCCACTATATCAACAGGATCACCCTTGTGATAGCTCAGAATGCTAAGACTGGGGAGGTGTAATTTCCTTTTACAAAACCCAAGTTGACTTTTTCTCAACTTAAGTTCATCGATGTATCCGACAATTCGGCTCTTCACTGTACTAGGAAAAGGGAGTAATACACAGACTTTATTTGCGTTACCAAAGAGCTCACACTTTGCAGACTAGAGTTGCCGGCTGTGTATGGTCATCTTCCTGGAAGATTTGTGACATCAAACTATCTTTCATTAAAGATTCATCTTTAACTCCTGGAGACGCCAGGACATTCCTGGAGGGGTGGACTCTCCATGGGGCATGTTCACAGAGTACTCCTCCAGGGATTTAAATCCAAGTGGGTATGTAAAGGATTATAGGAGTGCAAGGAGCTTGATGCTCCCCTGGAGTCTTGGACAAGAAATTCAGTTCAGACCCTGCTGCCAAATCATTCTGCAGGAGGGAGGCCATTTCAGGAGGGAAAAATTAAAGCTGCTGTGGAATGTTCTGGGATATTTAGACTGAGGGGCCAGATTCTCCTGCGGGTGACCTGTGCTGCCCTTTTCTGTCCATAAAACCCTTTTCCGTGTGAAGAGAGGCTTTCTTCACACATGCCACCTTCACCTCCCCAGGTGCCCGGGGAGGGCCTTGCGGTTTCTAAGCACCTTGCTGAATTTATGGCTGCAGTAGTCATGGCGTCCAACATACTCTGCTTGCCAGCTGCAGCTGAGCAGCCAGGGTGACCCTGGCCCTGGGAAGGGCAGCTTGGTTCTGATGCCAGGGTTGTGATATTGCAAGAGAACGGAACTTCCTTAATTGGAAACGCCCCCTCCAAGGGATTTACTCTACACACAAGGGTGTGGAAGGACTTGATTTGCATGTACAGATGTTCGGTGTCCCAGCAAGAGCATGTGGAACAACTGGCACAAAGAGCTTCAAAGAACCTTATTTTTAAAGCCCCAGATCATCAGTCCCTCTCTCCGGGGAAACTGTGGAATTGTGGGAAATTTGCCAAGAGGAGCAGGCAGAAGAGCTCCCATTTGGACAAGCTTACTGGGGGCTGCACTGAGCTTGGCTATTCAGAGAGGGAAATGGGGGGCTGGAGGCTTGGGCAGGTGTGAGATCTAGGCTGAGATCTGGGCTCTGCCTCAGGGACCCAAGACAAGTCTCTGCATCTCTCCAGGCTTTGGATCCCCATCTGTAAAATGGGGGTGCTGCTTTCTTCCTCTGTCGTGTCTATTTGTATTGG